AATATTTAAATAGACTTAATTTATATTGCAGAATTTATATTAAATGGTTCACTATAGTGAATAATAATATTTAAACTAACTAGACAATCAAATATAACAGGTTAAAATAAATGCAGATGTATGAAAGTATTTAAATTGGTAGTTGACAAATAGTAAACAAGATTTTATGACAAGCATCAAACAATAAAGAGCGCGTTGCATCATTTCTGTGTTAAATTTAAACACTTTAACTATTTATTACGTATTTTACTAAACATAAAGTGCCTTTGAATATTTAGTGTTTTGAATTAGTCATTTCTGTTTCTATGTGTCGACGAAGTTTACTATAGAACAAAAAGCAAATATAATTATTGTTGTGAACGAAATATTTGACGAAATAAACATCGTAAGAGGTATGTAAGATTTTCACTTATTACGTATACATTATAATATTTAATTCGATAGCAGTCATATAAAAAACATTTCAATATATAAAGAAAGATAAACAATAACTTAAAATGACAAATTACTAGATTAGTACGAGAGCCAGTGTGATTAGTCAGAATTAGACCTGAGAGAAATGTGTAATGTATAGTAGTAGGTACGGTGACGACTGACGACATCTGTATAATGTATGTGGTTATGATTTCATATACAATACAATTATTATACTTTTATTCAGTAAAACTTCAAGGAATTTCATGATGAATTATAGTCTATATCTTATTCTGATGTTTAAGCTGGAGTGTTGTGAAGTTTCGTTAAAATCTGTAAAAGAACAACATTATCATATACCTATCTTCAAAAACTTTTTCTTTTATAATATGTATATGTATATAACATTTTAACACAATTTTACTTATATCAATAATTTGTATACAGTTAAAAGTTGGTGACTTACGCGCCATTTTATAGAATTCAATTTTTTTAATGCTTTTTACACGAATTAATAAGAATAAATAAAGTAATTCTATTTCAAGGCCTACTTTTTTAAAACAATTTATACTAAACGAAACTTTAATTTTATAATATGAAAACGCATTTCTAGCGTCAATATAGTTTCACATAACAGAGTTTAATTTTAATTTCAAAAGGTCAAAAGTTTATCTAAGTATGTGAACTCATCTAAAGTTTAGTTTAAAACTTGCGAGAATTCATTTCTTTTTTTCATCTCGTCTGTCCGTGATAGTCCGAAACTAACCAAAACTTCGTGAGTATGTAGTTAAAATAATAAAAAACGTAGTACATACGAAAATATTGGTTATTTAAGTTTGGTTCGTATAAAAGGTTTTAAAACAGATTTTTTATATGAACGAAATATGATTTTCACTCTCTTTTTCTAAGTAATGATTCTTCTCAGATACATTAAAAGTTAAATTTACAGACAGTCTATGGCTATTCATTGCTGAAAATAGAAGTCCCTCAGTGCAAAAATGTTCCCTTCCTGGGTCAAATATCACAAATCCTTTGCGTAACTTGCTGTAAGGTTTCCTAGAGTAAGTTCTTCTCAAGCTGATATACCTCTTCAAGGTGTCCATCAATAGTCTGATCATCTGAATACTGGTTTATTTCCTCCTCATTCACTCATCCTATGACCTTTCTGATACGCGATATAGTTTTTGAAATGCAATTTCATTTCCATAAACACAATTAGTTTCCTATACTTAATAGTTTATCAGAAGTTTATTTCTTATATTGTCTTTGGATTCGGGAATTAACTTGTATATCTTATTATTTTATAATATACTAGCTTTCCGCCCGCAGCTTCACCCGCGTGGAGTTCGGTTATATCGCGTTTCCAAGAGAACCTTTCAAAAGTCTGTGATAAAAACTATTCTAATCTAAAAAACAGTTCAGTGGTTTAGGCGTGAAAGCGTAGACAGACAGAGTTACTCTCGCATTTATAATATTAGTAGGGATTTAATCAATGAAGTTAGAACTTTGTTTTGATATTTCATTATTACAAAATTTTAAAACAAAAGTTATTGCACTTAAAACCCATATTTCTTTAATAAGAAATGTGATAATTGTTTAAATGAATCGTATTTAATGTATAACTCGTAAAAATTACTTCACGAATTTTCACTTAGGTTCAATACATACGTACACGTAAAATATAACCTTTCTCGTTTGGAAGTCGGGGGGAAATGGAATATTACTCCAAAAAAAAGTAAAACAACAGTGCGTAGAAGAAGTGACACTTCCTATTGTTAGAATGAAAACGGGAAGGGTTAGATATTGATTTTTAAGGAATTTTAAGTGTTTCTTTAAGATAAACTTTATTAAAGTCACAATTAACAAATAACAAATTCCCATTAAAAAAAAACACGCATTGCCTCTCGATCTATCACTTTATACGCGAGGAGCGTTAAACGTTTAACGCAACCTTGTTGGAAGTTGCATAAGAAGTTAACTTCAATAATATCTAAATGTGAAATAAATGGCAAATACTTGATTAGTTGCAATCGATTATAACTCTCAAATATATTGAAGTCAATTAATTCCATCTTAAGCATATTGCAATATCACTAAGGATCTGGACTCCCAAATACACGCGTACAACTAGTTCGCTTCGTCACTATATTCGTAGCGTTTACTATTTTCTATATATTAATTTTCGTACATTACAGTATTAAAATAGGTTATTGAACGAGAAACGGGAGACGATACCTATGTAGTGTGACTATCCAAACTTGTGTTAAGCATACACATATCTTCGTCTTCCTGGCAATTTCCCAGTTTTAGCCAGGGTCTGCCTTACATGTTGTGAATAGTTTGAGCTAATTGTTTTTATGACCGGCCACCTGCCTGACATCAACCCTCTTTGGGAATGCATTAATCAGTGGTGTCTAAATACTCTTACAAAGTACATATGACTCGGAAAAATCACATTGGCACTTGCCAGGATCGAACCCGCGCCCTCGTGCATGAGAGGCGGGCATTTTAACTACTAGGCCACCACTGACTCAAAGCTATCAAAGTATACAATTATAATTTAATTTTCATTTTATACAATATTCATAAAGGTTACGTCTTGATATATGTATAAGATAAATTATACTCGTAATAACATACTATTGATGCCAGTATGTTTGTTTTGTATAATTAATTAATATATTTCTGAATTGATATACGATTATTTACAGCTATAACTTTTTTTGCTATCGGTACCGTAAAAAGAAAATGATAATTTATCTTATGTATAATATAATTCTCGTGTAGCGGTGTTAGACAGAGAACTCCTCCGAAACGGATGGACCGATTTTGATTAAATTTTGTGAGCATATTGAATAGGTCTGAGAATCGGCCAACATCTATTTTTCATACCCTTAAGTTATATGAGATGTTCACCCTTAATTTTTGGACGATTTTTTTTGTTTTTATTTTTTTATAATGTAGCATTAAGAAATACATACAACCCAAAATTTTTACTTTTTTATCACCAACCTATATTTTATATGACAAAAAACGTTTGCCGAGTCAGATAGTATCATATATATTTATAGTAAAGACAATAATATATTTATTTATATATGTACTCCCAATTTATTATAATACCAAGGTCTAGATATTTTTTCCTTGTTAGCGTAAACAGAACGTTTTTTTCTAAGTCTAGCTCAGAACATGACGTGTAGCCTTACAATGGAAACATACGACTGACTCATCGCCCAATAATATTGTTGTAATGGAACCGAGGTTACATTCATGAGAGGTAGCGGTTTTAAATATAATTTATTATATACATATAAAGAGATAGCGTTTTTATTGTCACATTTATATATCTTGTTGGATTTAAATAGTTTATTTTTATATGTTATATATGTTGAAAATTATTTTTCAATTAAAATAATAATATAATTCATCTTAAAAAAGTAATTTTATATATATTCTTGTTGAATGCGAAACATTTGATTATATAGATATTAAATCGCTGTCACCTCATAACTTGATCCACATCCCAGTAGTTAGTTAGTTTAATGTACGTCAATTGTTTTAACTATTAATGGGGCGGCTCGGGTTCGATTCTCGGGTGAGAAAAGAATTATTGTTCTTTGGTTAACTAAGTGTTGATAAGCTAACATCATTTATGTTACGCTTGAACAAGTAATTTGATGTTTCCCTTGTATGTTGTGTACCGTATATATAAATCCTGCTATTGTTATACATTACTGAACCTTTTTTTACGAAACTTAACAGTTTCGATAGGTAAAAAATAAGAGTAATTATTGTATGACTTATAAAAAGTATGTATTTTGCAAGATTTTTTTCTATAGTATTGACATTTTAGCAGTTATGTCAGTTCATTATTTCCTTATTATTATATACTTAATATTAAATGTCTGAATGACGGAAACTGTAAAGACACGAGCAATGTCAGGTCGTGAAGTATGTTTATAACCTTTTCATCATAACCTATTGGAGAGAAAACAGTCTATTATAATGTAGATGAAATATGGTAATGTTGCAGCGTTTTACAAATATTTTGTTATTGTACCTAACTATGTAAATCTGCCTTATTTTTATACGTAAGGGTTTCCCAAAGTATTGTAATAACTATGTATAGTATATTTATAATTTCCGTATATACTAAAACGTTTAAAAATATCATACAGCCAAGCAATCAATATGATACCCTAAGGTAAATGTTACGTTAGCATTATAGGGAAGAATTCAATAAAATTAAATTCCCTAGCAGGGTGTAGGGTGTAATATTTCAGGAGTAATAAAGCACAGATAAGGGCTAGAGTAAAGAGCGTCGTGCAATTTGTGAACTATTTTTTTTGTTTTGTAGTTTGATAAATCACGGTAACCCCACGGCCCGCCTAGCCGCACCCAGCCATAAACCTTCAACACACCCATTTTCTTCGACATTTGCTTATAACGGGGTGCGGTGCCATATAGCTCTATTACGACCCCATAGCGTACGTTATTAGCGCGCCCCATACCGTCCAATAAGTCACAAGAACAACAGATAAACTCTAACGGCGACCTTAAACTAAAATAAACAGATGATCCGCTAAATGAGACTCATACCTGCTATAAACCAGTGTATACATACCGCGGCGCGCCCTTTCACTAATGAGGACACTATACAGTATAGGGCGAGCTGCTATGAAGGTTGGAGTGCGCGCGCACCCCATGCCGGCTATATAAGGAGTGTCCGAGCCCCATGGAGTTCAGTTGTGCACGTGCTGGCGTGGATGGAACTCCTCGACCGTACGGCCGGTAGCGTTGAATTGTTTCGTTAAGTTAAATGAGTGACTCAACTCGCCAGCGCCCGTTAATTGGACTCTAACCTAGAATTTGAATTATCGCGTGGGCACATACGTTTTAGGTTAACTAACATCATTCCGTGTTAATAGGGTTCAAATAAAGCACTTCCCTGTTGCGGTCGACATGCTGTTGTATCGGACTATTTTGTAATAGTTTAGAAACTACTTTTATATAACAACCAATGATAATGTTTGAACAGTTATAAGATAAAACCGAGCCAAACATCGTCTTCATCAAAGGTATATCGTGGGAAATTACCTCTAATCCGTAGCTTTCGGATGAAAATAATTATTTCCCTCTCCTTTTATACCATCCTACTTTATACTGAGATTAATTGTAGTCTTTTGTGCCTGATCCTAAACACAAGATACTGAAGCTTCCGCACTGTGTCCCATCTATTCAATGGACTCTTCAAAAGAATGGGTAAGTCCTTTAGAGTACGGTTCTAACGTTATATATGTAAAGAAGGAAAAATTTTAATTGGTTTTAAAAGTTACATCAGCTGTTGTCCAAAAAACTATTGATGATTTTGTTGACAGTTGTTCATTATGGGATTAGTATAATCCAATTCATTACAAACTATATATTAAGGCGGACGATCAATTAGAAACTTTACTAATTAGGAATTCCGAATTTCAAGGAACACCGTTACGAAATTCCTACCTAAATAATTCTTAGTCTTATTCTTCAACTAAGTTTGGTTAAATATTTTTGAAGTTATTTTACCTCGTTCTTATGATTATTCTATATGACCTATTTGTACTGATTTATACTCAAAATAAAATTAATTCGATTTTACTTAATAAACTAAACTAATATTTCGAATACTCATTTTTCAAAATCTCGTGTATGATTTTTGGGTTACTTCACGGTACTTCTATACTAGAATTATATACGTATATCATTATTTTATCGCTATCTACCAGCATCAGTTTCATCAAAACTAACAAAGCCCTTTCTGTAGTCTGTCTAACAGACAATTGTAATCAGCATCTTTTGTTAATATTTCTCACTATTTTATTAAATTTATACAGATAGAGATTTTCTTTGAGGTAATAAATTCTGATGAAAACTAAAGAAGGCATTATGATACAGGATATTCATAGCCTTTGTTAAATGAAGTGGCTCAAATTTTATTTTGAAGTTGTTTTAAAACTTTTAGGACAAAACGTATACAATGATGCAATATAACAAAAACAGTATTCATATAGAGGCCACTAAACTATGTATATCTATCAGATCCTACATATATTTTATTATATATTTTATTTAATGTTTATATTGCATTACTATGAATTTAATTTTCTTCCTCTACCTGGCAATTTCCCAGCTATAGCCAGGGTCTGCCTTACATGTTTGTTAATAGTTTTGGCTAATTGTTTTGACGGCCGATCGCCTGCCTGACATCAACCCTCTTTTTTTGGGAATTAATCACTACTACAGCATTAATCGTTACTATGAAATTAATAAAGAATAATAATTTTATTTTCCTATAGATATGTACATATATAATAGAGGTTAATTCAAAGACTTCTTAATTGTTTTCATTCAACCCAATACATAAAATTTCTCGTCAAAATCCAATGAATTTCATCAAAATAGTTACAGCTATTACTAACCATATAGTCTATATGTTTAGAGACTGTGTCAGTTTGAGCAATACTTTTATAAGTCATTACAGCAGTCATTAGGGTCGACTTAATAAATGGAGTGATTTTTATCAAAATCTTAATCTACGTACGTTCTGTCTATTGTGATGTAACACAAAAAATAACTGTTTTAGTTTTTATTATATCTATTGTTATTATATCTATAAGATATTTAACTCGTTTTAATATACAAAAATATACATTAATAAAAAACGCGTTGTAATCCGATTGTTTAAATGAATGCTCGCGAAAGTCTTAGATCTCATTACAAAATATACCTATATTATTTTGTAAACTACAAAAATATTGACTTCTTTGCTGGTTTGAATGAGCATGTTAGTTTAAAAGTCTCCTTTAAATTATTTAGATATAAAACAAACATGATTTTACATATAAACAAATCTATAATATATTATTTCTTCCTATTATATAAGTTTCATGATATATATATTATATCTAACTACACGAGTAGTTAAGTCAGTCTGTGTGTTAACATTGTTAATTTAAATGGTTATTTTTAGACGAGGGTCGGTTTACTGTTGTTTTTATGTTCCTATGTAACTTAAAAATACTTCACATCTGTCATTTGAAGCTTATTTTTAAACTGTTATTAATTTGTAACCCAAAATATGACCAATATAAAAAAATTCATTATTACAAAAAATTGTTAAAGTACTGCAATGTTTTTTATACAGCTGTATTCAATGTAACAGAAAATGGAGTTTCAAAGTGAACTATTACAGAGGCATTCACAAATTCCAAGTCTGGAAGACAATTTATCAGATTGTCTGATTCCCTGTAGGTTTACGAGGCTGGTCCATTGTTCTTAGGCGGAATTAACGCTTGATGAAGTACTATACACGATACGGATTCTTTATAAAACGTTGACCTGTTAAAAATATTTACAAACCACATAAAACAACTAGTTTTTTCATTCAAACATATAGAAAATAAATTTTAATTAATTATATCCAATAAAATATTATAATAACGTGAATTTTAAATAGTTTTAAGCCCGTCAGTGATCTCGAGTTAAAAGTTTCATGTAACTTTAACTAAGAACAGGTAGAAGTTGAAACGACTTTAAAAGTTTAAATCTTGACATCGGAAACTTCGGCTGAGAGGCGAACAATGGACACCTGGTGGACGGTGTTGTATTAAAACGACGATAATAATAAAGAATAACTTACTTAAAATGACAAAAATACGTAATAAAAATTTTATTTTGAATTATAAGTGAAATTAATAAAGAATTTATATAAAATATATATGAATTATATTAAAACGACTCAAATCCGGAATAGTTAACTGAGCATTAACTCAAAACAATTACTTATTGCTCTATTTAACAGCTGAGTCCTGAATAACAATCAGTTGGTTGGTCGTAAATAAGTTTAAATCACTGTAAAATTAACACTGAATTCCTGACTGAGGCATTAAGTTATTTACTATTAAAATATTTAGATACGGCTATTGTAGAATTATACTGAGATCTAGTAATTATTTAGAATTATCGCAATGACTGATAGATGATAGAAAACCCTTCCTTATACACATTTTAACTACAATTTTAAAACTCTCATAGTAAAAGCCAAGTAAATCTTCATTTTAGACAAAAAAAAAATTGGTTAAGAATCCGTTAAATTCGTCGATTTTACCTCAACATTGTAGGAAAAGGAATTTTAAATGAATTTTGACGATAGGGGAATTACGGGAAGGAGTCACTCCGACATCGTGTTATAAGAAATTGATAAAATTTTGTAACACAACAGTTTAGTATAAAAAAAACATTAATTTGTTTTGAAATAAACTTCACTTGAATTATTGATTTTTAATATAAAATTTATTTAACGAAGAAGTGGATAATAAATGGCTTTTAAGTTATTTCAAACTATTATGTTAGCGCACATTTGATCATATTATGAAATAAATAACTATTATAAAGTCAATTCAATTACATATACAAGCTATTTGGTAACTAATATATCGATATTTGATATTTTTAACAAACAATATAATAATATTTATCAATTAAATTTATATTCATTTAGTATGGAATCGTCTTTAATTCTCTTTATTGTTCAAATATAAGTCTAATATTGTTTAACTAAACTAATGGAACAAAATGTTTTATCTTGAGATGTCTTCAACACCATCAATTGTACCCTGGACCATATGAAAATCACTCGTTTGGAATTTTTTCGTGGCTTTTAATTCTTATATAGACATGAAGTACCATTAATATAATAGTAAGAAAATTTACACTATTCGTACATAAGACTAATCCAAATATATAGTAATATTTTTTATGTATTCGTGTCTAATGTATGTACTGAAACATGTTATATACAGGGTGACTGGTGAATTACTATCAATATTTAAGGAGCATATTCGGTACATGATTCTCATTCGAATTATGTAAAAAAATAGGCACTTCATTTTTGACCAAATTTCCGTATAAATAAATAAAGTGTGTACACGTTCCAAGTGTTCCAAGTGTGGACGCGTGCGGCGGCGTGCTGATACAATACCACGCCGCCGCACGCGTATGTGTGTGTGTGTGTGTGTGTGTATACCTAATCTGTAGGGTGTTCACACGATGCGTAATTAATTACATAACTTTTGGTTAACTTTACTTAGAAGTTTATTAATATTTATGTTATATTAATTCTTATTTTGTCATATGTGATCGTCAAATATCACGTCCTCAAATATCGATAGTAATTCACCAGTCACCCTGTATATAATAATTTTTTAAACCAGCAGTGACAAGTCACCAAAATCATGTACAAATGTAACATATAAACCCATATACGAGCTCAATAAATTAATTAATAGAACATAAATCTTATTATATCTTAACAAGATTAACACAAAACTAAATCAACACTGACGTAACTTCGTTCACTGGATTTTTAACGTTTTTTTTTATATTTATTTTACGTAAGCGATCTATTTCCAAGAGTTCTGCTTTTAATCAGAATATCAAAGGCTTGCCAACATTGTCAATTTGTGATTTTTTAAGCTGCGCTGACGGTAACGTTTGTGTAGTAATTAATTTTATAAAATTTTTGCTCTTTATTGTGAAAACTCGGATCATTTGACGTATACTTGTATTTATTAGAACATCTTGTTTTAATATCGCCTTTCAACGTACCCATACTTTATATTTTTTAACATATATCCGTTTCTAAGATCTGTATCTGTATAATGTAGTAAATCTTAAAACTAGTTCTGCGTACGAATTCTTTGAGGTTCTGCCAAAAATATTAATCTTGTGTTCCAGAAATAAATTTAATGTAAGATCGATCCATTCCGTTTACATT